ATCTTTCTTTCTTTCCATTTACCCTTTATTTTTCATCTTTCACAAAAGCTAAGGCAAAGATTTACAATATTTCGAGTTCATCTTCATCATTGTCGCTGTCAGAAGTGATGTCAAAATCTTCTCCATTGATTTCGGCCACCAACTGTGTCTTAATCGCGTTAATGTTTCTTTATTATGAAATTCTACCTTCTCTTTCGCGTTGATTTTCTTTATTCGAAACTCGTTTTCCATGAAATTCACGTTAATTTAAGTCGCGTTAATTTCAAATACCTTAATTTCGTGGAGCGTTAATTTCCTATAATAAGGTATGTCGGTGGTGTAAGCGTATGTATCTTTGTGGCTTTGTATCTTCGGATGTTTGTTGCAACAGCCAATGAGGTTGAAGGTACTATGAGTTGATGCTTAGGAACCAATGAGATCTTGGCATCTATTAAACAGGGCACTTTCAGACCGCCATCTTGATTCTTCGCAATTTTTTCGTCTTTTATTACGGCTACAGTTGTTTAGAAGCATCACATTAAATATCTATCTTCATGATTCAAACGCTGTGTACAGTGGTGCAGCTGTTTAAGGGGTTCATATTTTAGTGTGGAAGCTGCTTCAAGACATTTCTGACCGAATTCGGTTATCGCGAACGGTACAACGCACGTATCAATGAGTTCTGTTTCACCTGCTTCAAGGTAGAGTATAAGAGATCATATATTTTCAAAAGCTTTTCCAATGAAACAATAATTGAAACAATATTTCATGATTAATAGTATCAAACGCCTTAGAAAGATCAAAGAAGATGCCTAAAGTGGTTTCCTTATGATCGCTACGATCGCTGCGATCGCTGAACTTTTTTTTTAGTGATCCCAGCGACCACAGCGATCGTAGCTATCATATAACAGATCATATATTTTCAAAAGCTTTTCCAATGAAACAATAGTTGACATTTAGATATAATCTTTAATTTGAAAGTATTGCGGCCTATAAATTTTGGTTTTAGATGTTTGAAAGGCAGCTTATTTTTTGGACGTTGTACCGAGTATTCTTAATCCTGTAAACAAGCTTTATTCTCTCGCTTACAAAGTTCAACAGACCTTTTTTGATCCGGCAAAAAAAAAATCATGATTAAGCGAACAACATGATACATCGCTGCTGCTTACTAAGTATCATAGTCATTGAAACGTATTTTATTTAGTAAAGATGTGTAACTTAAGCGTAGTTTCCATATGATCGCTACGATCGCTGTGATCGCTGAGATAGAAAAAATTCTATCTCAGCGATCGTTGTCGCTGCGATCGCTGGAAAGTTTATTTTTATTTATTTATTTATTTATTTATTTATTTAGTCACTCACAAAACCTTATACATGAACAAAAGTTGTTAATTAAATTATGAAATTAATGTGACAAAGAGGCCTAAGGAAGCTTGAAGCTTCAACTACCTAATGACGTAAATTCATGGCTGAGGGCAGAGTGAGGAAAATCAGAAAATTAAGCGACAGATCGGCTATCAGTGAGATAATTCTTTAATTTTTTTTAAACAAACAAATATAGAAGGAGAGCTAATTAGTGAAATAGGCAACGAATTCCAGATTTTAGGTCCTCGGTGAAGGATACTGAATTGCTTTATATTTGTTCTACAAAAATGAGGTCTATACTGAGAGGCTCGTCGAGTTTCGTTTTGATGGACTTGATTAATACTTAAGAACAAGTCATGAAAGCTACTAGGCAAAAGATTATAGTGATAAGAATACATAAAAGTAGCGACAGAAAATGAATTATACTAAATATGTCAAGGACTTTAAGCTGGCTAAATAAAGGGGCGGTATTTGCTAGATAGTGAGCTTTTGTTATGAGCCGCACTAGACGCTTTTGCAAAAGATAAATACAGTTTAGGTTGGAACAGTAGGTGGAGAACCAGGCGACATTACAGTATGTGAAGAAAGGATATACAAGGAAGTAATATAAGGTCAACACAGTTTGGGATGACAGGTAAAAGCGGGCTTTCGCGATAATTCCCACCCTTTTCGAGATTTTTTTTGAGACGAAATCAGTATGTGGTTTCCAAGAGAGATGCCGATCAATGAGAACACCTAAAAATTTTGTCTCCGTGACTTGCTTAATCACAGTATTTTCCAGAGTAAGAGGGACATTAACCATTGACTTTCTTTTGTCTTGGATGAATAATCATAAAATTTGTCTTAGTCAAATTTAGAGATAACTTATTGACTTTAAGCCACATAATTATTTTTGCAAGTTCACTGTTAAGAATAGAAACGAGGTGGTTGGCATCTTTATGGGACAAAAGATACTTGTGTCATCAGCAAACAGTAAAGATTGAGTGAGACTAGAGACATTAGGGAGATCATTAATGTAAAAACAAAAGGGGTCTAAGAATTGAGCCATGCGGGACGCCACATTAAATTTTCCGCGGATAGGACTGATGGAACCCAAACTGGACAAATTGAGTCCGATCCTCAAGACGGCTTTTGATCCACGTCAAAGCAGTATCCCGAATACCATAGTGTTGCAGTTTTTGACACAATATTTCATGATTAATAGTATCAAACGCCTTAGAAAGATCAAAGAAGATGCCTAAAGTGGTTTCCTTATGATCGCTACGATCGCTGCGATCGCTGAACTTTTTTTTTTAGTGATCCCAGCGATCACAGCGATCGTAGCTATCATATAACAGATCATATATTTTCAAAAGCTTTTCCAATGAAACAATAGTTGACATTTAGATATGGTCTTTAATTCCAAAGTATTGCGGCCTATAAATTTTGGTTTTAGATGTTTGAAAGGCAGCTTATTTTTTGGACGTTGTACCGAGTATTCTTAATCCTGTAAACAAGCTTTATTCTCTCGCTTACAAAGTTCAACAGACCTTTTTCGATCCGGCAAAAAAAAACCTTGAATAAGCGAACAACATGATACATCCCTCCTGCTTACTAAGTATCATAGTCATTGAAACGTATTTTATTTAGTAAAGATGCGTAACTTAAGCGTGGTTTCCATATGATCGCTACGATCACTGTGATCGCTGAGATAGAAAAAATTCTATCTCAACGATCGTTGTCGCTGCAATAGCTGGAAAGTGGTTTCCCTATGATCGCTACGATCGCTGCGATCGCTGAACTTTTTTTTTTTAGAGTTCCCAGCGATCACAGCGATCGTAGCGATCATATGGAAACCAGGCTTTAAGAAGAAACAGTTGCCTTAGGGAATAAAATTGGAAGAAGCTAGTTAACACTAATTAGATATTGTTTTATTGAGTGGAATAACATGATATGAGAAGAAATATATTCGTCAGTTTCAGTTGATAATTTTCTTGGAAGTTAATAAAATGTAAAGCTGTCAAGCGTGACGTTGCATGGAGCATAATTTAATTGCAGATGTTGTAAAGCTGAGGTGATTTCTTAAAATCGTTTCAGAAAATTTTCTAGTAAACAGTTTGCGCTTTTTTACGTACAAATTGTAAAGGGCCCAAGGTCTAACATCTTCACGTGCAAATTGTGTGCATGAGTTATTTTTGTAATTCTGTTTACTGGATTACTGTGTGATAACTCGAATTCCCTCACGTACGAACCACGACTGTGGTGATTCTACATCTCATGCTGGCTTTTCACAGTAATAATGTAACTTGAACGTATGAAGACATCTTTAGTTTTGTAACTAGTGCCTAAGCAAAGACTCTTTTCTTTTAAGAAGCAATAACTCATAACAGTCTTAGAGTTAAGTGGTCAGAGTTAAAGAATGTTTCATTAAAGTAGAATCGGACGTTATAACCTCATGAATAATGATGATGCAAACATCTATAACAACTATGATGAAAATCTTAGCTATTCGGTATTCGCCAACTTTCATTATTTTAATAAACCATGAAGAAACCTTGAAACCTTTAAAGTGAATTTATCAGATCGAGTCATCTATGCTCTGCGGTTCTCGTTTTCATTAATGTACAGCAATACCCAATTTCGCACAAAACATATCCTTAATTTAGGATTAAGACAGTAGATTGCCGATACTGTTACCCTGAAGCATTCGAAATAACTCATGCACGTAAAACGTGCTCATTTTTAATTAACAGTTAATGAATGCGGATGATACAAAAGCCGAATTCAATAATTGTTTTATTATTCATTGAAAATTCTTTGTTAAAAAAAAAAAAATGCTTATCTCCATCGATGTTAAGTTCATCTTCGATAGTGCACGTTTAGGGTTGTTCAGCTCCGCAAATATTCTCCAAATAGCAGATTTCGCCCCTCGCGTTGTCTTTTTGCTGTTCTTGCCATGTTTTTAGCTATTATTTCAGCTAGTTCTTACTCTTAAAACGAGTGAAATGTCCGCCATTTTTGTTTTCACAACCAAAACAACTCAACCTTGTCCCCAAGTCTTCTCGGTTAACGGTGCATTAACCTGCTAGAACGCTGCACTTTTGACGTCATTAAACGCAAAATTCTTCCAAATTTGGTCATCAGTAGCTGGTTATGGTGAATTATGCGTGTGCTTTCAGCTAATCAGAATCGGGGAAATATTTTGAATGAACAAATAACAAACGTTGAACGTTTATTTCGGCAAACAAACAGTAAAGTTGAAAAAAGATTTTACGAAAGTCTCAAAAGTAGGTCTCCTTACACTTCTGGCTGAGTTTTGTTTGCTTTTGATTTAAATATGGAATAACAATTACTCAGAGACAATACAGTGTAAGGAATTGTAGAGAAAAACAACAAAAACTTGCCAAATTAAGACAAAAAAGGTACTTTAAAAAGGAACTAAAACATTTAAAACGCTTTGATCACGTGACTGATGATGTCATGTCCCTCTTTTGGTCACGAAAAAATTATCAGGTAGAACATTACTTTTCTGCAAATTAAAAACGCTTTAGCTTAAAGAACGTGTATTCATACTTTCAGGTCGAGATTGTTTATCGCTGTTAAAATCAGGCCATACTCAGAGTGGAGTGTACTCTGTCAACCCACACGGTAAAGGATTCTTCAATGTATATTGTGACATGCGCACTGATGGTGGAGGATGGACCGTGTTCCAGAGAAGACAAGATGGCTCGGTGGACTTCTATCGCGGCTGGAACGATTACAAATCGGGCTTTGGTCAGCTGACGGCTGAGTTCTGGTTAGGAAACGACAAGATCCACAGACTGACGGCCTCTAGACCCAGTTCTTTACGAGTGGAGCTAGAGGACTGGAACGGAGTAAGAGTGTACGCAAAATATGGGAAGTTTAACATTGGCGATGAGCAGGCGAAGTATCGACTTGAAGTGGGTTCATATTCAGGGACGGCGGGAGATACGTTTTCAACGTATCATAATAACATGGCGTTTACTACAAAAGACAGAGATAATGACAGAGATACCAGTAATAACTGTGCTGTGTCATGGACTGGTGCCTGGTGGTATTATAATTGTCACAAGACCAATCTAAACGGACGATACTTGGGAGACCTGGGACAAACAAGGAATTGGCAAGGAGTTGTTTGGGATGGTTTCCGTTATGGCATCTCTCTTAAATTCACTGAGATGAAACTGAGGCCTTCATAATATGCAGAGTGTTATTTTAACTCAGGGGTGTGGATGTAGTGTTTCTAGACAATTAAGTCACCCGAGCAAGAAAGACGTTTTAGTGTTAAGTGATCATAAACTGATTATGAACTGCAAAATCAGCCCTATTAGGACTGGGCTTTTTTTTTCTTCCTGCGACGCGCGGGAAGCGGGGGGGGTGGGGGGGAGTGGTGAGGTCGGAGAGACCTCCGGAAGCCCCCTCTCTAACTTCAAAACTCGTGATACGGCCGCCGAAATTACACTTCCAACATCTATGTTAGACTGCAAAACAGTTGTTGTTTTTTTTTTCCTCAAAATCGGTTTAGCGTAGCTAAGGAGTCTCACACGCGCGAGCCTCAGCCTCGATCCAGACCTTCTGTTTGACTGCACGCGCGTACTTGAATACGCAAAAATACGGACTGTTTTTATGGTCCAGTCAAATTGTGGTTTAGCATCAAAGTAATTGCAACAGAATTTTTTTCAACGCCATTTAATTAGTGGATGGCTATTAAACATTATACTAAATATCCGCCAAAATCGGTTCGGTGAAATATGAGAAAAATTGGCAATAAAGATTTTCAACTTCCACCACAGGACACCCAATTTTTGGAAGATCACAAATTTAGACAAAACATCTGATAATAGTGTCCTTTTTTCTCAAGAGTTTTCGATAGAAAATCTCTAATGTATTTTGGGTAGTTTTGTTTTAAAACACGCCGTCTAAATGTGTGAGAAACACGTGGGTCAGTGTTTCGTCTTGAGATCTTTACACAGGTTACCCAGCCACTCGTCTGTATTCACATTCTGTTTTCCAACCTTTTTTTTTTTATAACGGTATTTAAAATGGAAATTATTAGTCTGTTTTAACATGGTTAAAAATCTTATTAGTAATTTTTTTTTTTTGCGCGATGTCAGAAATGCAGGAAGTATTTTAGCAGTTTTACAGGCTTGTAATTTTGTTATGTCCTGCAGCATGGATGCAAATTTAGTAGCTGTCTGATGGTGAAAAATTTGATTTGATATTTTGTTCACCTTCAGTCAGCTACTAAATTTGAATTCACGCTGCAAGATACGTGGGACTAAATTTTTTCAACGGACTATAGCTTTGTAACAGTACAAAACGTTTAACCTATTCCCATTTCCTGTAATCGAGTTTTGTGAGGTAAATATGTTCTAGCCTTGGACAATAAGACTTTTTTGTGTGATCGAACTAGGGATTCTTTATTTTTCTCGCGACATGTGCAACCTCCTTTAGGGTTATTACTCTGTACTTTATAATGTGAGTGAATAAATATTCCGCTAAGGACTCCGTCTGTTTGGTTTTTGCTAGATCGCAACGCTCTGCGCTTTTCATTACACCTGGCCGAATTTGTAGTACTGAGGGAAATTCAGAAAACCAAGCGCAGTGTGATGGTTCTTTTTTTTAATCTTCTCCTTGTAGCGAGTCTCAGATTTAGTTTAGTGTATCTGTTTGTTCAGTTTGTATTTTCTGCGTCTAAGGCGTTCATATTCTCTCACCTTGACCTTAAACCTTTACCAGTTTTTTCTCGTCTATTGGCAAATGAAGACCTGTTTTTCTATAAAGAACATGGGATCCTGTACCTCTGAAAATAATTGCAGTGGCCAATAAAGGCGCGAAAGTACTCAGGACAACATTAAAAGTACAAAATTAATGAGCTTGGCTGACTTAGCTTCTGATGGCTCACATCTTTTTGCGGAAGTGAAACTTGTATATTTGAGGATGACGGTACGTTACGAAAATTAATGTATAGGTAATCGTAAAAGCCAAAGCATTATCTTGCTGGATTTTTGAGAACGTACCAAACGAACATTACAGTCTTTTGACTGAGAAAAAGACCAAAAGACGAAGGCAAAATGAGCCCGAAAATCCTCCTAGAAAAGAACAAGGAGAGGGAAAATAGAAAGAGCGAAGAGAAAGAAAGGAGAAGAAGGACAAAAAAAGCCATGGCTGCAATGCTAGTTTTTATGTTGACTTCTGTTTGAGGGGAGAGCTCTATTTTGGCTTTAACGTTATTCAAAAATCCAGCTCTGATATTTATTTTTCTTACCCTTATGCCTAACAGAAATCTGATATAAAAAGGATATAGCTTAAAAGCTAATGATTAAGTAATGGCTTTCATTTTTCAGATTGAAAGCCTTATGACTAAATTTGTTGTAGTTTTACAGGCACCAGTTCACCCTATTACTCTGTAAGCCTCCTGTTATTTTGGGGTTCCTTGAGCGAAGCATGGGCTTCCTGTGCAAAAGCCAACCGTGTTACATATTTATCCTTCTTGAAAAAAAGAAACACGTCGTTTTTATCACCGGAAACTAGGCAGCAGTTGTTCTTTCTTCTTTCACTCTTCCATGCCACAAAAGTAACAAAAACATTTTGTGCATTTTTCGTTTCAACGTATAATTTCATCTAACGTGGGTATCCTTTGTTTAAAGCTCAAAATGTTTAATGCTTAATTTTGACACGTTCCACCGAATGGATTTTGGCGGATTTTTAGTACGTTGCTAGATAGGCCACCCTTACTTAAAAGGCGTTGAAAACAATTCTGTTGCAATTAGTTTAATGTTGAGCCTCAAAAATGCCTTGATTGACTAAACTACTGAAGTGGAGTGGTTAAGTGGAAGCTAAGTTGGAGCACTAGTTGAGTTGAAACAGTTGAATGAAAACGTATGATCTAAAGGATTAATAAACTACACTAAGATGTGATTATAGACTCCTGGTACATCTTTACTTAGGTAGCGGGTTACTCGTACACCCCCAACAACTTGTCGAAACGTGACGAACTCTGCCATCCGAAAGAGGAAGGTGAAAATGATATAATAAATGACGCAAACTAGGGAAAGGTATTTTGTATTGTATTACTGGGCTTGGTTTTTAAATACGTAAGAACGCTTCCTGAAGGTAAATACAAATTAGAACATTGATCTTTTTACAACATCCGGGAAAAGTTTGGTTTGATGCAAAAAATCACTGTGAGCATACCTCACTGGATACGACTACAGTTTCAAATGATTTTCAATTCCACGAGCACAAAACTTGCCCACCACCCCCACCCGCAACCCAACAATTTTACCCTAAAAGAGAACTTTGTACAGTGTTTACATGGTATAATCTGATCCACTCAAGATAATGCCCGGAAATTAATTAATGTGATGAACTCTGCCCTCTGTACATAAATGGGAAGTGAGAAAATGATATACTAAACGACGCAAAAGCGTACGTCCCAACAAAACACTCTAAGGTACCATTTTTTAGGTGCTCATAAGATCATGAAGACTAGCTGTGAAACTGGCTTAGAAATGATGACTCCAAAGCAACGCTTTCCTTCGTTTGCTCATACCATCTCAGCATTAGGTATTGTTCTGTACTGCGTTGGGTTTTTTTTATTCAACTCTTAAAAGAGTTGAATTAGAGTTCAAGAAGAGGCTATACTCGCTAGAAAACGTAGCGAAGAGTAGTGACCCACCATCCAGCGGTCCAAATGCCAAGGTTATGAAGAATTCTCGCTGTATGTATTTCTCGCATTATCTTGACACAGTTGGTTTTTTTTTTGGTTTTTTTTGTTTTTTTTTTGTTTATGCAGTCTAAAGGGTCAGTCTTCCAATCCTTCCCCTGAAGCCGTTGAAAGAATTGTTAAATGCTTTCCCAAGGCAAAGAATACCAGTACCGGATCCAGACCTTGAGATAGGAGATAACGGGGTGGGCGGGGGGGGCAGCGGTCATCCAGACCCTTAGATAAGCGGGGAACGGTCTCCAAAAATTTTTTTTTTCGGCCCTTCGGGCCTCAGTTTGGTCTAAGAATAAGGGGTCCCCCTCCCCTGGATCGGTCACTGAATAACAAAAGGAGAGAGTTAAGCCATTTCCTTTAAACAGCAGCAGGATATATTACCGTCTCAGTCCTTTCATACAACACATACTTTGCCTCAGATAAAGGCAAGAAATATTCTATCGCACTTACAGTAAAGCATACAGTCTATTAAGAAGAACTAATTGGATTAGACTAACTAACATGATGCACAACGTAATTAATGTTTTCGGGGAGATTAATTGCTTTGATTGGCGTAGAAAGATGGATGATATCATATGAACCGGCCACAAATGCATTTTCTTGCTAACAAGACAAGCAACAACAATAACCAGGCACAATATGTTTGGGAGAAAATCATTCAAAGTCAAAAATTCCTTCAAAGAGCATTGTGATTTTTTTAGGAAAATCATACCAAGTACTAGTCAGTGACAATAAATACTCTTCACAGTAGTCAAAGACATGCTTCATAACGGTCATTTACCAATCTTTGTGCAAATCAATTTTTTTTTCTGCCGACGTTGCTACCTTAAAATTTCAAAACTTGCTACGTGATTTGTTTGTTTGGTTTTTTATGTATAAACGTTAGAGGGGAGAGGAGCATAATAGGAAGGAGGGAGAAATGGCCCAAAACAGTAGGAAGGAGGGAGAAATGAAATGTTGGGAGTAGCTAGATATCGATTAGAAGGTAATTTTATGCCTTTTTTTAACCTGCGTGATGACAAGGGATGGGGGAACGGGAAATTTGACGTACACTGTGATCCCCTTGGGTCTCCTGGGACTCCCTTTGTCGGACGTAACCGAATGGAATCAAACTTTGAAACTTCTCAGGTTACCAGGTTTAAAAATTGGCGACGAGCAACACACGACTCCTGCACTTGGTCGTAAAGGAAGTTAGTGACCTTTAGAACTTCGCTTTAACTAATAGGTCCTTTAGGGATTTTCCCTTGCGATATGATATGAGGGAGGCTCCTAAAAGATTTCTCTTAGCCGTTGTTGGTTTTGTATAAGGTGCCATTTCCCCATTAGTACTTTTTTCAGGCTAGGTAAAGCCGGGTGGTATTGTGTAAGAAGAGGTTTCTTACGTGCGTATTTGTTTCTCTGTTGAAGGGTGTTTTCCTGTCGGCGAATTTTACCTCAGAGCGGTGCTTTCTGACAATTATAGCGACAGGGTAGCGTCTTTCTATCAGGCGAGTTTCGAAATATTTGATATTTTGCTCAAAATTGGTTTGACAAGAATCAGTCCTTAGAAGCCTAAGCGCTTCTCCTTTAAATGAAACCTTTCTTCCCCGGGGGGGAGGGGGGTACTAGACCAATATTTGGGTATAGGTGAGCCGCTAAGGGTTTATAACCCTGTTTAGGACAAAAAAAATTCCTAAAATACATACCCTGTTTAGGACAACACCCTCAATCTTAGTACACTGTTTAGGACAACTCCCGACTAAGACGAAATCAATTGTGCATGAAACACCCTGTTTATGACTAGAACAGACTCGCACAAATCATGCACACTGTTTAGGAAAGACTCGTGCGAAATTGTATACCCTGTTTAGGACAGAGAGAACTAAACCCATACCCTGTCCAGCGGCACATCCCCGTATAGCCCATATAAGGGATTGCCCCGCCACCCCAGGGCTTTTTTCACGCCTGGTAGGTGACGCGAGTAGAAGTTCGTGTACTGAAAGGTTTGTGTTGGCTCAGTGTAACAGTGTGTTTGCACGTCTACCTTGTTGAATCTAATCCCTTTCTACATTTTTGTGTCCGAGAAAGTGATCTCTGTTTCCGACATCTCGGCCGTGAATTTTATAGTAGAGTGAAAGTCATTTGCCTTTTCCACAAAGCTCTCTATTTTGTCTGGAAATTTCCCATAGGGAAAACACATCAGTCGTCGATATATCTTTTCCAAAACAGCGGTTCAATCGGTTCAGTACAACTCTGTCTCAATATTTGGTTTTCTATTCTGGCAATATAGATTTTAGCAAAAGTAACGGCTGTCTTTTTCCCCATGGCTGTTCCATGGGTCTGTAGATACTTGCTAACGTAATATTGGAAAGAGTTTTCTGTTAAAATAAGATATAGTATTTTTCTTAGATAGGGGCTTTCTCTCCATGAAAATCGTTGTATACTTGACATGCTGTGGTTACTCGCCCTCTTTTGATGGTATGTTGGCGTAGAGGCAAAGCACTGGAGGTCAGATCGAGAACTTCCTTTACGACTAAGCCACAGACACCGGTTTCCACCGTTTTACGGAAATCGGTCAGATTTTCCTAATGAACAACCTCAACTTTCCAAGTTGAAATCCGAAAAATGGTTTGGACTCGCCTTGCTCCATATCCACTACAACATGGAAATTAACCATGGTGAAATAATCCGCTGATTTCAAAGCCTTCATCCTAGTAGAATAGAACTGGACAATATCTAAATGTCTAAATGACTCAGAAATTCAGGTTAGCGGAATTAAAATAAAAAAATTGGGGGAGAGCATGTCCCCAGGCCCCCTTAGAGGCTTGCGCCTTCCGGCACTCGTTTAGGAAATCGGTCAGTATGTATCCTGGATCAGCACCTGTAAGTGCAGCAGCCGTGTGTTGACCGCCGCCAACTTTTACACCAACTAAAGGGAAGAGGGAAAAATTAGCTAAAAAGTAAGAAGGAGGGAGATGTATTCTACTGTACCTTCCCTTCTTAAAAGTTTTAGTTTTTGTTCTTTAAAACAGTTGCTAACATTGGTCATCGGCCTTCCAGTGTTACTCACAAATATGGGCCAAAATTAATTAAAGGATACACTTAAGTCTAACCCCGAGGTAGCTCAAACTTACTATGCAAAACGTTGTCAAGTGAAGGGTGTTCAAAAAGTTGTTAAATTAATGTTCAAGAAAATCACATAACTTGTAGTTTTCTATGAAATCGTTGACTTTTTCGTGCTTTATGTGTGTACTAAGAAACCTTGATTTCCGCGGTTTGGAGACAACCGCAAAAAGTTGCTCCAAACGCCATACGTTGGTGACAGTTGTCGAGCACAGTCGGGACAGGCCACCTGCCAACTGCTTACCTTGTAATATGCATGATACCTTTTGTAGGACGACCATAAGGTTTGTATATTCACGAACTGACGTTTGAGTCACTTTATGTCAGTGCTTTCCAGAACGTTGTGCAAGTTCTTCCGTCCTTCCTTTTTTTCTTCGCAAAGGTTTCCTTTATTTTCTCGAATTTCTTGTGTCTGGAGTCATACTCAGTTGAGTGAAGTAAAAGCATTAATAACAAAACAGCAAAGACGACTTGAGATTCCATTATTTCGCACGTACAAGCCGTCCTTCTTCAGGGGATTTAATGAAGAACCGCAAAGTCGTTACAATTCAAATAGCATGGACGATTTGCAGCTGGTCAGCCAGGAGTTGTGGAGGACAGTCTATATTTCAATATATGAGAAAGTCTCTACAGACTCTGCATAATGTTAATTTGAAAATTGTAAAATCGACGCCGTTCAAAAGAGTGTTAACCGACGTTTCGGCAATGCTGCCTTCTTCACTTCATATATGCATTCCTTTTGTAGTAATGTATGCTGCAGAACTTAACAATTTTTAAAACTTATCTAAAGTAGTTTCGATCAAGTTATTACTTGACTAATTATTGTAACTGTTGTTGAGTTAAAGATTAAGCTCGGTTAGACATTAGTGACGCGTAAGATCAAATTGCTATATTGTACCTCGTGCGTTGTTGCTTGATAGAGTTAATGCGAAAGATCTATCTGCGAAGTTAACTGCGTTCATTTGAATATCTATTCAGGCGTACAGAGAGGACAATCGGTAAGCGTATTTTTCTCTGCCCTTGTTGCTTTCGTTTCAATATTTGATCGATTATTGTTAGGTTTTTTGTGCGCTCGTCTTTTCTTGTTTTGTTATGTAATAATTATTGCTTTAGCTTAGCTCCGTTTCATGTCGCTTAGACAAGGTTTTCTTGTTTGTATTTTAGTTTGACGTGTTTGACATCAGATTAAATCGCATTGGAATCACAGTTGTTCGTGTCTGGTGTTGAAATTCAGTACATCGTTGTCCTCGTGAGACCTTTGACTTGCGACATTCCTACGCTGTTAAACGCCTGCATTTACAATTATAATTCAAATTCCAAAAACGCGCCATTCCCAACTTAAACAAATTCAGCACTAATCTTCCTATTTTTTCTTATTTTGCTGACAGACTTTTACACCTATGATCAAGAAAGAGTTAGGCGTCAAGCGAATTTGGCCAACGACACAAAGAGCGCTACAGTCACAGCGGTTACTCTCAGTAAAATCAACAAACTGCTGACAGAGGCGGGAGTGCAGCTCTGTCAATCAAAGGGTGACTCTTTCAGTCAGGCCCCCCAGGTCCTCCAGGTCCATCAGGACCGAGGGGAGAGAAAGGAGACCGAGGAAGAAGACGAAAGAAAGGAGATAGAGGGATTATGGGATTCCCAGGAAAAAGCGGCAAGCAAGGCAAAATAGGAACTGTAGGGCCAAAAGGCCACGCTGGACAAAAAGGACAAAAGGGAGGCACGGGGTTCACCGGCGTGCCAGGAGCCAAAGGGGATAGAGGCATTATAGGACCACCAGGAAACAGCATCAAAGGACCTGTGGGACCAAAAGGCGATGTTGGACCAAAAGGACAAAAAGGAGACACAGGTTTCACCGGCGTGCCAGGAGCCAAAGGAGATAGAGGCATTATGGGACCACCAGGAAAGAGCATCATAGGACCTGTAGGACCAAAAGACGATGTTGGACCAAAAGGACAAAAAGGAGACACAGGTTTCACCGGCGTGCCAGGAGCCAAAGGAGATAGAGGCATTATAGGACCACCAGGAAAGAGCATCATGGGACCTGTAGGATCAAAGGGTAATGCTGGACCCAAAGGGCAAAAAGGAGACACAGGACCCACCGGTGTGCCAGGAGTCAAAGGAGATAGAGGTATTACAGGACCACCAGGAAAGAGTGGCACAAAAGGCATCAGGGGACTTATAGGGCCAAAAGGCGACATTGGAGTCAAAGGACAAAAAGGAGAGAAAGGGTCTGCTGGCATGCCTGGAGCTAAAGGAAAATCTGGTCAAACTACCACCGTTGTTGTACCTTGGGGTAAGTGATAATCTAATTCTGTGCTAATTTGCTCTACCATTAGTATATGTCCAATTTGGAAATATATAATTGGATGAAAAAAATACCGAGGACAGCCAAAATTGGACGAGGCCGTAGGCCGAGTCCAATTTGGCCGTCAGAGGAATTTTTTGAATTCAATTATTTCAAAATTGGACAAGCATGTAGTCCTTTTACTAATTAAGCGAAGTATTGTACACTTGAACGGTTTGTAGTTGAAAAAAAATCACATTGCAAGATCTAAAAAAGTGTCAACTTATTCTTTACAAGTAAACAAACGTATAACTAGAATTGCTCTTTCATACGTTGGCATTAATTTGTAGTTAAGTATAAATTTCAAAAAGCTCCTTCAATGATACTGTGTTACATGTGAAAACCGCAATTCATTCTTCGCGTACAAAGAAGACAAAGCAACAATGCAAATGCTCAATTTAAACACGAAAGCTATTAAAGGTTAACACTTCATTCATTACCTCAAACGATTTCCACAGACTTTGTCCTTTTGTTGGGTAATGCCTACATCTAATCACAACAATCGGTGTTTTCTTATTCTTGTCCAAAGTTTCAGTGCTTGTACATTTTCGAGAATCGTTGATTGTTTCCAAAACTTTTGTCAGTTTAATTTGGCCTTACATTTTCCTTTTACATGGCCCAGACAAGAAGCTAAAACAAAACAGCAGCAAAACAAAACAACATTCACAGCAACAAGGAGCCACAAGTGTACGCCGACGAACCGCCATAGGGACTTGTCATAGGGACTTTTCTCTGATTGGCTAGTTTGCATTGCATATTGTATTTCTAGCATTTGATTGACTCAGACCAGCTATCATATATTTTTCTTAAATTGGACAGTTTGCCTATATGTAGTAGAACGTCCTATCTGAAACTATCCAAATTAATCCTTAATTGGACAGTTAATTATCGGATTAACTTACAGCTAATATATAGTTAAACAAGAAAACACAAAACCATGTTCATAGAGTATTATGAATGTGCCGCGGGCAACCAGCGCTTGGAGAGTAACCAGGTGAAAAGAGAAAAAAAGACACAACATCATGCACAACCCGAAAATCAAATAATAGCTATAATCGACAGAAATAAATCAAATATTTACTTAACTTATAACAAGAACCAATCCTATTCCGTTGAACGCTTGACTGCAACGAACCAGACTTACGAGAAAATCGAGAGGAAAACGAGGGCTCGAAGAGGCGCGTAGACTTGACCTCCTTCAGAAAACTCGAATCTCGGGCCCTACGACAATTAGACGCCTGCTTACTACAAAGCTCGGCTCACCTTTCGGAACGAAAAATGCGCTTTTCGTCCTCAGAATTGGGAACTAATTCATCCAACAAATATTCCTTCACAGTCAACCGGCCAAACTCGCTCCTGTCAGCTAATTTGATAACCTTTATACGCTTCTCCAACAAGCTGACACCTTCTTTAATGGCTTCCTTCGCTTTCTCGTACTTAGCGCACGCCAAAGAATCCTTTGCTCAGTAAGCTCGTCAAGCACAAGTTGTTGATGCTCGAACTAAGCTTTGTTGTCCTTCAATTTAAGCACTGGCTCACTGTTCTTAAGCCGCTTAGCCTTAGCAGACAAAGATGCCTCTTGCTCCGCGGATAAATGCGCTTAAGAGCAGTAATGCTGGACTCGGTAAAAGACGAAGGATTTGCCCAAAAATCAGCAAATGTTGGCGGGATGACGACTTTTATTGCCTTCTAAACTCGTGGGTCGACGCCAGAAACTGTTGAAATCGAAGAAGAAGAACTGCCTTCCTGTCCCTTAGATATACCCAGAACCGTAAACTAAATCAGTGCAGAAAACCCAAGAGACTACTGGAAACTAAACGGTTCCCAACATGCACGAAATACAAATATATGCTAAACTTCGTATCGAAAATATTGTGCTAGACTATTCAATGCGGACTGTCTTAGTTTATTTTAAGGCTACATTTTTTCAAAAAAGAAGAAACCTTTTTGCAATACCGCGTTGGTCAGAGTTAACATTTTTTGTCATTATTCAAATGTTAAAATTTTTCAAAAGAATAGCTTATTTCATCCCGAGATAATCTTAAGACCTTTATTTTGCTTTAAAGAAACAAAAAATACAGGTTAATTAATATTTAACTTTTTGAAACAAAATAAGTTAATTTTTAACTTTTTTGTTAACCGTAACTGAAAAAAATTAGCCGATAGCCGTAAAAGAGCCAAACTTTTAGCCGATAACCGTAAATGACACCACCCCATTGAGACCATCTTAGAGCCACAGAACTCTCTTGATTTACATAGTCTCATTTTGGATAATCTTTTGATCATTCAGCTGAGTCCGTGTCTGGTAAAGTAAGCTTTTGTTGGCGTTCTTTTAAACTTGATACTTGTTTAACTTTTGCTCCTGATCGAATTTAATTACTGTTTATTATTATTATTATTACTATTATTATTATTATTATTATTATTATTATTATTATTATCATTATTATTATTATTATTATTATTACTAGTATTATCCTCATTATACACAGCTTCTGGATGGCTCGCTTGCTGGTGTCTTCCTTAAACATCAAGTCACCGCCCGTGACCTTAGGTCTCTAAGACTTTGCGAAGGATTCGGGCTGTACCCAGTAAGCACGCTCTTCGCAGTGATTCCAAACGACAAGTGACACCAATCTCTGCTAACCACTTTTCTATATCGTTCGAGACAGTTCCTAATGCACCAATTATGATTAGCACCACAGATACTCTGCTCAATTTCCAGATCCGTTTCAACTCCCGCTTCAGGTCTTGGTAGTTCTCAATTTCTCTTTCCACCGCACTACAATTGATTGCTTGGAACATTTTCCCACCATTCAGTTAAGACTTTCATATTTTTTGTACACGAAGGAATATTCCGTCTAAATTCTTCTTTTCATCTCGGTGTGTTTGATTTCGTCTTCTCCAAGTGTTTATAATCATCGACATCTCCATCGTTACAGGAGAGGAGAGAAGAGGTAGTCCGCTATAGTAAGAAGTGATTCCATTTGCTTTAATTGAAATGGATGGATAAAAATTGACCGCTCGGTTTGATATACAAATCCTGTCCAGTGACATACAAATCATGTCAAAAAAGAAAACAACAACTTTATAACAGCCTGTAAACCACTAAGCTGAAACTTATGTCATGTTAGGCCCCTTTCAAACGTGGAATTTCATATGAGTGCCGAACACCTATTTTAGTAGATGAAAGTATAAATCAGGCAGTTGACTCAGACGTCGGATATGATGGTGCCGAATTTAACTCAGTTTGTCGTAAATATTCCTAGTCTCTAGACTGATGCGTTTTTATAGTCCACCCTTACCATTCTAAAGCCTGTTTTTCCCCTTGTTATTATCATTATCATTATTATCATTATTTCCATTCCTTGTAGACTCAGGCAGGATGTTCGGCAACGGGTGTTATTATTATTATTATTATTATTATTATTATTATTATTATTATTATTATTATTATTATTACAAGTGATACTGGTAAAAGCAAATTATAATTATTTTACACTATATAAAGCTTCGAGTTTAAACCCTAAAATAATTTGATCAAAAAGGGTTAGCTTTTTCGTCTTTCTTCGGTGCCACATATTTATACCACGAAGTCACGGTTCGAGGTTGTCCGCTGTAGTAAGAAGTGATTCCATTTGCTTTTATTGAAATGGATGTATGAAAATTGATCGCTCTTTTTTATTTACAAATCATGTCCAGTGACATACAAATCATTTCAAAGAGAAAGTAAAATTAAATATTTAACTGATCGAAGCTAGACGTAAAGCTCACAATAAACCCATTAATACTCTTTCAGACTTGGTCCATGCCGGGGAAGGTTTAAGAAATTTATGAACCATCTATAGCGCAGCTACCGACTGAAAGATTCTTTCTGGATGTAAAACTCTCCAATTTCTCTCTATTCTTCTACCAATTCAAACATGACACCCAATCCTCAAAGTGAAGTCCGGGAGGAAAAAAATATACCAATTCTATCAAATATTGGGTCAAAAATATTCTTTGGCTTGGGACAGCTGGGACACTTGGGACACCTGGGACACTTAGGACAGCTAGAACACCTGGGAAAGCTGGGACACCTGGGACATCTGGGACACTTGGAACACCTGGGACAGCTGGGACACCTAAGACACTTGGGACACATGGAACACCTTGGACACCTAAGACACTTGGGACACAGGAGACACCTGGGACACTTGGGACATCTGGGACACTTGGGACACCTGAGACAGCTCGGAAACTTGGGAAGGCTGGGTCACATGGCACACCTGGGACACTTACGACACCTTGGACACCTAAGACACTTGGGACACAGGAGACACCTGGGACACTTGGGACACCTGGATGCAGTTTGAACGGAAAGCCTTTTTCTCTGAGACAGCAAAATTCAGTGATATATAATGGTGATAAAGAATTCCAATCATAGATTTCAGTTATCTCAGAAAAGTATCAAATCTGGGACGAAATAGTTATCTTAAATTAACATCATTCTCCATTTTAGGTCAAGACTGCTTATCACTGTTTGAGTCAGGCCATAATCAAAGTGGGGTGTACTCTGTGAACCCGGATAGTAAAGGATCCTTCAATGTATATTGTGACATGCGCACTGATGGTGGAGGATGGACCGTGTTCCAGAGAAGACAAGATGGCTCAGTGGACTTCTATCGCGGTTGGAACGATTACAAATCAGGCTTTGGTCAGCTAACAGCTGAGTTCTGGTTGGGAAACGACAAGATCCACAGACTGACAGCCGCTAGACCAAGCACTCTACGAGTGGACCTGGAAGACTTGAAGAGAGTAAAAGTGCATGCCAAATATGGGAAGTTCAAGATTGGTGATGAGCAGACGAAATATCGACTTGAAGTGGGTTCAAAGTCAGGGACGGCGGTAGATTCGTTAGCATATCATAATAACATGCGTTTAGCACCAAAGACAGAGAGGGAGTAGTAACTGTGCTGTGACATACACTGGTGCCTGGTGGTACAACTACTGCTACGAAACCAATCTAAACGGCAAATACGGATTCCAGTCATGGTTATACTTAAGTTCTTTAAAATTCTCTGAGATGAAGTTGAAGCCGTCATCATAAGTACAAAACTAAGCCAGTTTCACCGGAAAGCTTCTGTTTTCTCCTAGATAGCAAAATTCAGTGATATATATATAAGGTGATAAGCAATTCCCATTTATTTTGCGTAAAGGCTTGGGTGGCTGTATTAAAACCCGCGTGTAAGGTCCCTCATTTGATGAAGTCTAGCAAAAATGTTCTTATATTATGGGATAGTTACTGGCAATTTAAGCTAAGTAGGTTCTTAATTGGGTTCTTAATTTCTATGAAGATGATATAGTTTTTGACTACCAGAAAATAAAGTGAGTTTTAGTCCTCAAATACACAGTATCTATTCACAAATGCACATTGCAAACCTCCGGCCTTTATGCATTAGAATAATGAAAACAATTACAATTTGTTCTTTACATAAACCTGTTTTTGTTGTAGGAATTACAGCGATACTGTGAATCGTAATAATTACAGTTTGGTACAGTATTTTCTTGTAATATCACTTTGCAATCTCAAAGTCAAACTCCTTGCATAAATGTTCATCATAATTTAACTGAAACCCACATTTAAGAACCTACTTGATTTTCCTTAGGCTATGAAAGGGCGATAAATTTCTGCCTGCAGGTTATTACACCACTAGACGTTTCTTATACGCGGGTTTTAGCTGTACTATGTCCCTGGGTCTCGCCTTCGACCGAGTTTCAAAAAACATCTTAAGATTAAGGGAACTCGTAAATATTATTTCAAAACGATATGTTATTATTCCAGAGCAAACGTTCAGAGGAAGGCTCTATGCAACCTGGCCCTGGTGAGGATGTATTACACCTGGATCCACGGAGAATTGCGGATTGTCACAAATTCTATAAAATGGGGAGGACAGATTTTGTAGGGGGCTGCATTGACAAAATCTGAGATAAAAGGTAACAAGGCGAGCAGGCACATCAAGTAGAAGAATAGTCAAAGAAATGATTGGTAAATAAAGATTTGGTTTCTTTGTAGCTTGCTCTCTAATAGTTGCTTTCATTTCAAGACACATGTATAGTGAATCATGACACGTGATTTCTCGAGTCTTCTACGGGAGGAAAATCATGGGATTGAAAACAATCTGCCTCCGATCAGAGGCAGTCTAC